GCATCCATGAGCCTTATTGAGCACTCAGCACCCCTGTTACCAGATTGTGGTTTGTTCCTCTTCAGACCACTGTTGGTAAATCCTCAACAATGCTGACCAGGTGCAACGCAGAAGCCTTGCTGTTTTGAGATACACTGGCCCACTCACCTTATATAACATTATGGCCCATGTTAAAGATGCTAAGATCTTTGTTACCTCAACATATTTGACCATTCACAGGTAGGGGTTTGTTTGGGGTTTGTCCTAGTTAATCTGGCCCAGTGGCAAAAATTCTTATCCCACATTCCTAAAAATTATTATTAATAATAATAATAATTATAATAATAATAGTAATAATAAAAGGTCAGTAATCATTTATTGCAACTGCACCGTAAACTAAAGTAGCACTGCAGATGTACATTGTGCTGTTTCATAAATTATGTAATATAGCCTATAACGTTAATTCATGCCTGTTCCAGAGAATACTATTGATCCATAATTTGTAAGTTTGTTTGCACGCACCCGAAAAGCTATCCATTAGAATTATAGCCTTTTTTACATTGAAAACTGTATTGTTTTTATATTTTAAGTAAACCCACAAGTTTTTTTTTTTTTTTTTTTTTTGCATAAACCATCAGGAACAAACATACAACACAATATAAAGATGAAACATAAAAACTAAACAGCAATGGTAAAAGTAAACAAATCTAAATAAAAAATAACAAACACACACACACACACACACACACACACACACACACACACACACACACACACACACACATATTACATATTACATATATATATATTAAATACATTCTACATTCATTGATTTTAAGAATTAACAGGGGAATACAAAAAGTGTTATAATAATTTTCACAAATCTCAGATTTTTTTGCTTTTCTACGATTTCACAGTAGAAATAAAGAAGTTAAACTCGATACAAAAAATTGTTAATATGGGAGATGACTTGGCAAATTTCTGTTTGTGTATGTAAAATTTAGCTAATAAAATACAGATTAACAATATATTCAAGGCTTTTATTGGATTTGTTCTCATATTAAAATATATGTACAATTTATTGTAAAATAATAACTAAGTTGTGTTATTTAAAAAATATATTTGACTAAATCCTTGCAGAAATCGTTTACAACGTTGCATTAAAAAATGACAAAGGTTCTCTTTATCTGCATTGCAGAAACCACAGATATCCTCCATTTCAATGTACTTTAATAATAAATAATTTACTGGGTAAAATGTAGCCTAGGTAGTATTTTAAAAAGAAATTCCTTAATTTTATTATTAATAGTGTATTTGAAGGGAGTTAACCAGGCTTTTTCCCAATTCATATATTAACCATAAAATGAAAATTTGCCTCTAGTTTTGTTTTGCTTCTGAAAAATATTATGAATGTGTAGTACATTTTTATCAATCAACTTAACGCCTTCTAAATGTAATTTTGGATTAACAACAGATAGAGAATTATAGCAAATCTGATTTAGACAAGTTGAACAATTTTTATAATCCGACATTTCCAAAACATTTTCGAGTAGTAGGCCTATGACGACACGACACATAATTAATGCACAAGTGTTATAGCTAAAATTAGCCAACAGTTATTGTGCAAGTAATGAGAACAATATGTTTTACTTACTGTACTTACACTTTAAATATATTACCAATAAAACACAGCAGCACGTTTTAATGACAACGTGCCTGTCGTAAACCAATGGCAATTTGTCGAGCTGAGATGATTCGGCTGCTTAGCAACAGAGCAAATGAAGCGTAGAGGAGGAGGACCGTCACCGCATCTCTGCTGAACCCGATATCCTCTCTCTCAGTCCAGATTACATGGTAGGTTTTCTCTTCACGTTAGGTTAGCTGTTTATTCTCTATATAACACACTGTGTTTTATTTACATTTCCTGATATTCGAGTATGCTTCATAATGCGAGTGTGTAACGGCCTATCTGTTTATCAAGCCTGTTTGCTTGTGACGTAGTTATCATAAGATGTGCGTTTTCTCTAAACTCAGTAATATAATCCGTAGCCATTATAGTCCATTTTAGCATTCATAATTTCTGTTTAACTGGTAATATGCGATGTAACAATAGGCTATATATAACGTAATGTTTACATAGGCGTTTTACAGTAGCCTGCAGAGATACATTTATCTTGTGTTTATTGTCGGTGTAGTGAACGTCAGAGATGGGTTCGACTTCAAAAATGACACACACGGTTTTTCTGAGTGTCATCTTCAGCCTGATAGCCGTGGTTTCTGGCCGCAGTCCACGCACTGTGGATCAGGTGTCGGAAGCGGACATCCAGCGCCTGCTTCACGGTGTAATGGAGCAGCTGGGCATCGCGCGGCCCCGGGTCGAATATCCCGCGCACCAGGCCACCAACATAGTTGGTCCTCTCAGCATCCAAGGTATACGTTTCTCTCTGTATATAACCTATTTGCAGATGAATTACATTTTAAATGATTATACATATAGGATGTAAGAACTTGTAAATAAGTTTAAAGGTTTGTTCTTATATAATGCTCTTCATTATGCGGCTGCTTTAATGTCATTTTGAACTTTGTCCAATAGGTGGTGCTCATGAGGGGCTCCAGCATCTCGGGCCGTATGGGAACATCCCTAACATTGTAGCAGAGTTAACAGGGGACAGTGTTCCCAAAGATTTCAGCGAGGACCACGGTTATCCTGACCCTCCCAACCCTTGCCCCCTTGGAAAGACTGGTATGCAGGTTCAAATGCACAAATATAGTGGAACATCAATTCATTCTGTCAGTAACCTAAAACCTGAATCAAATTTTCTGAGGAAAGAAAAAAATTCCAATTGAATTAAACCAAAGATTCAAACGGTATGTGAACAGCCTGTGCATATCTTTTAGTTTCTAAAATGTGTACATGTTTTTCTAGCTGCAGATGGGTGTTTAGAAAATTCTCCAGACACTGCAGAGTTCAGTCGAGAGTTCCAGAAACATCAGCACCTTTTTGACCCAGAGCATGACTATCCTGCACTGGCCAAGTGGGTGAGTTCACTTTGAAACTGGCTGGAGGAAACTTCAAACTTGTAATTTTAATAAAACTATTTGTTTTGTGAATTATGCAGTAAAGTTAGAACTAGATTTAAAGTCTCTCAGTTTTTTATCTCAGACTTTTCATGTACTATTTATTAGGATAAAGCTGTAATTAAAAGATATCAAGTACTTTTCCACATCCAATCTATTCTACATGTGTAAGATTGATGTCTCAATTTCTGAAAAAAAATCTAAATAATAAATACAAAACATTAATAACATTTAAAAAGTTCAACTTACTTTTTTGTCAGGTTGTTAAATACTTAATCTTATTTTTTGGTGTTGTAAGGAGGACAAATTGAATAATTGAATGCAATTTAAACTGGTTTAATTCTGCTTGATTTATTTTTGTCTTTAGCTCTAAAAAAGGGTTATAGGTTTACTGCATTCGTATAGCACTGACTTTATAAATTCATTCATTCATTTTCTTGTCGGCTTAGTCCCTTTATTAATCCGGGGTCGCCACAGCGGAATGAACCGCCAACTTATCCAGCAAGTTTTTACGCAGCGGATGCCCTTCCAGCCGCAACCCATCTCCGGGAAACATCCACACGTACATTCACACACACACTCATACACTACGGACAATTTAGCCTACCCAATTCACCTGTACCGCATGTCCAGAGCACCTGGAGGAAACCCACACAAAGGCAGGGAGAACATGCAAACTCCACACAGAAACGCCAACTGAGCCGAGGTTCGAACCAGCGACCCAGCAACCTTCTTGCTGTGAGGCGACAGCACTACCTACTGCGCCACTGTATTTGTATTTTTACTTATATTAATTTTAAAAGTTGGCACGCCTACCTATTCGAATTGCTACCAAATCAGTTGCATCTCTTCAGAGGGGTCAGTTCCATTTATATGTTCCAGTTGTTTTTTGATCTCTTTATTGACATCGCAGTTTTAGGATGAATAGATTTTCAATGGAGGGGAAGAAATTTCAGAAATGTGATTTAAACATTTTGATTGCTGTTGCAGCAATAAATTAATTTCCTGTGTTTGAAAAGAAGTGAGTATGAGTAAATGATGATCATTTTCAATGTTTCACCTATACAACAGCAAACCCGATCTCATCAGAAACATAACTATTTATGAAGGGGTGACTTTATAAGAGTTTGTTCAATTTGATTTGTACAATAAAAAAGCACACAAGATCATTCACTCTATTAACCATAAATTAATCATATGAATATGCACAAATATTATATAAACTCATCCAAATTTGCCAAAACGGTCTTCCACAAGAGTCTGTAGTAATGGTTAATATTGTACAGATATGTAAATACAGATCTGTGTACAGACTGCAATAATATCCATTGTTCTGCTTTCAGAATAAAGGACTGTTGTATGAAAAACTGAAGGGTGGGCCAAAGAGAAGAAAAAGGGTATGCTATAAATATGAATGTAACTAAAACATTTCGGATTGCTGCTTTCTCAGTACACATCTTGTGTTCTCAGTAAAATTGTCACTCTGTCACTGACTGCGTTTCAGAGTGTTCCAAATCCATATCTGATGGGACAGAGGCTGGATAACGTGGTGGCCAAGAAATCAGTGCCACATTTCCCAGAGGAGGATGAGGTTGAAACCGCTACAAGCAATATCAAGACCTGAACATCATGTTGATCATAAAATCTGTATAATCAACATAACTTATCAGTTTCACAGTAAAGTAAGCACCAAATGATGTGTGATATTCAACTGAATCATATTATTAATAGAGCAACAAATGATGATTGTATAACATTAATGAATATTCTCTTGGCGCAACTTTTGTTGTAACACTATATAATCAAATAAAATGATGTATATCTTCATGTGCAGATAATTTGAAACATGTGTTCGTGCATCATGATTCATCTAAGTTTATGAATATACAATCTTCATGAAGGAGCTCTAGAAACACAGGACCATCCCCAAAATGCTGTGAATGATGGTAGACTAAGAGGAGGCGTGGACTGCTGCATTCTCTTAAACGTCAGCGCTCAGAACAGAGCTCCATACCTTATTTTGACTCTGACTCGGAATTCTGGATCATTTGGTTCAGTCTATTTTTATCTGTAGTTTGTTATGGTGCACAAAGACCTTTGTGAACATAGCAGACGTTTAAACCACTATTAAACTGAGGTAAGTCTGCACATCAACTGAATATTTATTTGAAAAACAAACATTTTATCTTAATTAAAAAGAATTACTTATTCATATGATTTCAGAAGACAGTAGCAACTGGTTAAAATATGTAGGAAATTAGAACAAGCTTTTTTTGAGGGAGAGGGGTTGAAATGTTTATTACATATTTTTTTATTATTGTAACTTTAATATAAAAGCTGCATTATGTATTTTTTTTTCGTAAAGACAAATATGTTCAATGTATACAGTAGTCAACATTTGAAGTGGATCAAAACTTTTAATCAAAGTAATAAAATATTCAACAACACCCATTCTTATCCAATGACAACTTTAAAAGCCTATGATTCAAATGTTTACTATATATATATATATATATATATATATATATATATATATATATATATATATATATATATATATATATATAGCCTATGATTTAGTTTACATTGAATTGAAATGAATGTTCTGTTCCTTTCTCCATGTGAAAGGATGACTAAAGACGCATTAGCTGTCACTATCGTGGTCTTGTGGCTGCTCTGCAATCCGGCGAGGATCAGGGGAACCGGGGGATTTCAAGGCGCCATTCCTCACCCAAATAAATACAGTCCAAACCAGTCGGAGCAGTCACCGCAGACACCGCAGGCCGGTTCCAGGGGAATGGGACCGCCTTCAGCCGGGGACGAGGTGCTGGACTCCAGCCAGGAGGCTTTACACGTAACGGAGCGCCGGTATCTCAAACTCGACTGGTGTAAAACGCAGCCGCTGAAGCTGATGATCTACGAAGACGGATGCCAACCGCGCGCCATCATCAACCGCTTCTGCTACGGACAGTGCAACTCTTTCTACATCCCTCGACACATTTACCAAGAGGATGGCGCGTTCCAGTCGTGCTCCGTGTGCAAGCCCAAAAGTTTTACGACCGTCACTTACACGCTCTTCTGCCCCGGTCAAACTCCCAACACCAAGAAAAAGCGCGTGCGGCGTGTCAAACAGTGCCGCTGCACTTCTGTCGACTTGGATTAAACCTAAACTCACTGACTGATGTTGTTGTTGTTGGCTACATGCGTGCGTTTGTCTTGACTAACATGCTTGACATATATCATTGATATGTGTTTGTTTAGTCAAAACAACAGTCTTAATATTGTGAAGATATTCATCTGATGCAATTTAATGTACTATAAGTAGCCTGTAGTTGTAATTAGACATATTTTTATATTATTCTCCACTGTGTGGAGGAAGATTTGCACATTGATGCAAATATAGTACTCTGTGGCTAGATTTGTAAGATACATAAACGCACACATAAGGCTATATGGGTGTAAATAAGCAAGACCCAAATATACCAAGTAATGTTTTGCTGGCTTTTATATCTGTGTTGTCAAATATATGTGGTGCCATATTTACAATCTTTTTTATTCGCCTGATGAAGAAAATACAGGTGACAAATGAAATGCATGCAAACATTTTTTTTATAACAATGAACATTTTGTACAGTACTGCATTTACAAGGAACAAAATTACTGTGATTCAATGATAAATCCACATACATGTCGTCAATAAAAAAGGTGTGATGTGCTGAATAAAACAGTTATAGTTTAAAATTATATGATTGTAAATGTACATTATGTTATGTAATGACTTAATATGGCCATAAAAAATACTCAACTTTTGTTACTCAATATGCAAAATAAAGTGACTGCTTTTTTCTAAGTTGAATGCCAAGATTGCTGTCTTCAATTTGCACTATTTGAACCCTTAATTATACAAACTGGTGAAGATTATAAAGCAGAGTAAGTGAACTTGTAATACACTCTTAAAATAAAGGTGGCTTTAATGGTTCCATGAAGAACCCTTACTGACCAGACCTTTCCATTGATCAAAATGTTCTTTTAAGGCGTGAACAAATGATTTAGATTTCTAAAATGTTTTTTACACCATTAACAAAAATGGTTATTTAAAAGGTTAAACAGTTCTTTATGGAGTGGTTCCACTGGGAAAACATAATTTTGGAATCTTTATTTTTAAGGAACATTCATTTAAAAACTTCACCTCATATCTGAACCATTAGGAATATTTAGAACATACATATCCAAGTGAGCTAAAAGATTATTGTATCATACACACAATCCACACTGACAGACAGGCAGTCATCCTGCAACTTTCAGGCTGGAGAAAAGTGTCCCACAAGCTGGTGCACTTCATTCTGACCTTGCCAAAAATCAGCTGGGTCTTCAATACAAGCCTTTTTGGAAACAGTTAGCTGGTGGTCAGACTTGCTTCTTTCATACGCAGTCTCTCTTTCTGTCATTAAACACACACATCAATTGACATAGTTATTCAAAACAAACAGCTATGCTTGCATTATGTGCAATAGAGTTTGGAGTCTGGGCTGACAGAAAAAGCTTATTCATGAAAGTACAATGGTGACTAGTGTTTAAGTGCTTATCAATCTGCCACCCACACTTCTCTTACTCTTACCAGTCCATTCGCATGTGCTCTTCTCGTCTCAATCTTCTTCTCTGCTGTCATGTTGCGAACTGACTGTTGGGCTTCTTTAAGTCTGAAGTTAAAAAGAGTGTAGTTTATTTGACCATAATGTTACAATCCCAGCAAGTTTTTATATCATTCATGAATAAACCCGTATACACTGCAAAACGGTCACCTTAATGAAATGAAAGGAGCTTAGTTAACTGAAAATTGACTGAAAGTTAATTCTACTTATTCGAAAAGAGTTTTGAACTCAGTGTTAAAGTTAATGGGTTAATTAAATACCTCATTACCTCAACTTAAATGGAGTAAGTTCACAGCACTCAAATAGTTTATTTTTTTTTTTACTCAAATGGTTAGTAGCAATCGGTTTCCTCAAACAGCTTTAGTTGCCTTAACTTATTGGGTTTTACAGTACTCAGTTGGTTTGAGTTCTCTTCATTTATTGGGTTTTACAGTACTCATTACGATTAGTTTTTGAACAAATGGCTTGTTGCAATCGATTTCCTTAAATGGTTAGAGTTTCCTTAACTTTTTGGGTTTTCCAATTAAACAGATAAATTGAGTATTACCAATTTTTAATCCACTCAGCCGATCCCCATGGAGGGAGCAATTTTTGCGTAGCCTAGCATAAATCATTAAATTGGATTAGACCATTAGCATCTCACTCTAAAAAAGTTTGGATTATTTTATTTAAAGTATGACTCTTCAAAACAGCAAAGTTCCTTTATTATTATTATTATTATTATTATTATTATTATTATTATTAAACCAGAATATAGTTTTTAGCCATATTGATATAGAACATAGCAACTTTTCATGTTCTTTTTAAAAGATTTATTGATAAGAATTCTATGACAGTTAAACAAACAAGAGTAAACGAGAAAATAATCAGTTTAATCAGTTTGCTTATTTGCAGTGCTTATCATACTATTTTGTTAACAAATATGTATGTTTATTTACAAATGTACACTTAAGCTGTAAGTTATTACAATTTCCTATATAATTTAATGAGATTAGAATTTTAGAAATATGAAAAAATTCTTTAAATACTTTAAATATTTTAAATGCCAATTTATTATCATCCATCATAAAAAAAACAAACACAAATTTGCCAATCTGTTAAAACTGTTTTTTTTTAAAGCTGTAGCCTATATGCAAATAACAAACTGGCCTCATTCATTTACAATTTGCCCATTTAAATAATTAAAGCCTTATTTGATTGGTTATTTTTACACTTTATAATAGCAGGCTGTTAAAAATGAGACAAGTACTTTCGAACCATGCTAAATAGTCCATCCTAACCAACCCAAATACTAGTATTCGAAAATAGAATTAATATGTCCCAAATCTTTGTGTGTTGAAAAGAGTTTGCTAAAGGTTCCCGATGGTTTACTATTTTTGGTAAAAATTTAAAGTGTAAAGTTAGGACCCATACTCCTACTGATGATATTGTCCACAATATATTGCGCGTTGGGCGTGAATTCGATTAGAACTACAAACGCGGATAAAAAATGTAAACAAACTACAAACATGATGGAGGCGCGAGGCCAACCGTCAAGTAGCGAGGCTTCGGCAAAGATGTTTGAATGACTAATCAAATTGTTAATCAATATCTGGCCAACTGGAACATGTTTAAACCGCGTCTTCTGTGTTATATTTCATCTGCAGCTACAATACTGAACTTATATAAAGACATTCTCTTTCTGAATGCACAATTATCCAAAAAACTGAGGAGATTTCTCTGCATGAAAGACTCGTGAATGGCAGATTATCCTACTGCTGCTGCTCCAATAAGGTAGGAAATTAAATATGACATAAATGTGGATGATGTGTGAATGATTGACTAGGCACATAACTAAGCAACACAACGATCTGTTAACTTGGAAGTAGTCTGTTCCAAGGCTTGCATACTCTTCTGTTACACACCCAAGAGTACATATTTTTCCTTTACATAAAAGTATAGGCTACTTTTAGGGTGTAAATTGGGACGCAGCATGTGTCTTGTTTAGAGAAGTTGCAAAGCAGAAAATCAGATACCCAAGATGCCTCTCACCTCTGTTTGGATATGACTTTGTTCTCTCTCTTCCACCTGATCTTAAAGTCATTGCAGAATTCAAACCAAAGTGTAAACACATTGCCAGGCACAACTTCTTGCTCTCCAGAACGTGGCTTAAGCCCAAAATACTCCACTAGGTCAGAGAAGCTGGGGAAGAAAATACATAATAACGCACAGTACACTGTTAAAATAAACTGGCATCAATTGTTCCACAAAGAAGCTGTTTTCATAATTCACTTAATAATCTCATTCAACAAAAGTTTCTTTGTCATAGCAAAAAAAGTTTATGACATGTATATTTTTAAGACACAAAGTGTGATGTCCTTATACCTTTTACGAGCTGATACCACCTGGTGCTCCATGGTGATCAGCTCTTTCTGTGCTGTGAAATGAAAATATGTGTATTCACAATTATGCAGTTTACACATTTTCATTTAGACTGGATCATAATCTTTGCCACGTTGCAAAACCATGATAATTTAGGGTAACCATAGTAGGCCATAATGCTAACCTCAAATTAACAATTAAATTTAATCATAATCTAACCTGGCTAATCTAACCATAGTTTTACCACCGTAACTGTTGTAAAATGACAGTTATAAAAATAGAAGTCAATGCACAAAAAATGGTTACTGCAATTTTACTATAAAGTAAGAATTTACAGTGCATCCAGAAAGTCTTCATAGCGCTTCACTTTTTTCACATTTTCTTATGCTCCAGCCTTATTCCAAAATGGATTAAATTTATTTATTTCCTTAAATCTTACACACAATACCCCATAATGACAATGTGAAAAAAGAGATTTTGAAATCGTTACAAATTTATTAAAAATAAAAAAGCTGAGAAATTGAGCTCAGGTACATTCCGTTTCCACTGATCATTCTTGAGATGTTTCAGCAGCTTCATGTGGTCTATGTGTAATGTGGTCTGCACACCTGTCTATATAAGGTCCCAGGGTTGACAGTGCATGTCAAAAGCAAAGCCAAGCAAGAAGACAAAAAGGAATTGTCTGTAGACCTTCCAGCAGGACAATGACGCAAAGCACACCACCAAAATATCAATTGAGTGGCTTCACAACAACTCGGTGAATGCCCTTCAGTGGCCCAGCCAGAGCCCAGACCTAAATCCTATTGAACATCTCAGAGAGATCTGGAAATGGCTGTACACCGTCGCTTCACATCCAACCTGATAGAGCTTGAGAGGTACTGAAAAGAGGAATGGGCAAAAATTCCCAAAGACAGGTGTGCCAAGCTTGTAGCATCATATTTAAAAAGACTTGAGGCTGTAATTGCCGCCAAAGGTGCATCAACAAAGTATTGAGCAAAGGCTGTGAACACTTATGTACATGTGATTTTTCAGGTTTTTTATTTGTAATAAATTTGCAACAATTTAAAAAATCTTTTTTCACATTGTCATTATGGGGTGTTGTGTGTAGAATTTTGAGAAAATAAATGAGTTTAATCCATTTTGGATTAAGGCTATTACGAAAAACAATGTGGAAAAGTGAAGCTCTATGAATGAAAACTTTCCAGATGCACTGTAGATATGCAAAAACCTCCAAGTGCCATCTGAAACTTTCTTCTAAATGACCATTTTTTTTCCTGGCTCCTATTTTTATGTACAGTAAATCAAATTTTATTGGTTCTTTTCATCACTTTTTAAGAGAAATAGCTGAACAAAAACAAAGGAGACTGTGAAAATGCTCATTTTAGAAGAAAAGTTTAGATGGCACGTAGAGGTTTTTGCATCTGAGCTCTTCAAACAAACCATGGTTCAATTTTCATAAGGGGATTGTGAATTTTTTATTATAATTATTCTTAATATGCCAGTTTATCAGGAAGTGACCATTTTGTTCTCTCGAACACATTGGATGGAGACAGTGCTTTATTCACAAATGTTTTATGCAAAACTTTAATTTTGCACATAATGTTATGTTCTCAACTTTAATTGAAAATATGCTGCCGAGTGCTCCCACTAAACTAATATAGACAGTGATGAAATAAATGTGAAAGACCTCGACTAAATCCTAACCACGGAGATGCATAGATAAGATTATGTTAATAGTGTCTAGTGGAAAGAGTAATGGGTCTCAAATGAGCCTTAATGACTAAAAATAATTGGTAACAATATACAGTATAGCAAGAAAAACATCAGTGTGCTCACATCTAGGAAATTTTTGAAGGCAGGTCCTCGATCAAGCCAAACACAATAAAAAAAGTCAAAAGAAAAAATCTAATTAAATAGGACAACGTTTCAACCTACATGGGCTTCATCGGGTCACACAGGAAATACAAGAGAATACTACACTGTAAAAAAGCTGGATTTCACACAATTCTTTCATGTCTTAAATTGAGAAAGTTAACTTAATTGTTTTAACAAATTTAAGTTGATTGAACATAAAACATTTAAGCTGCCCCCTTAAAAAACAGAAAACTCAAGAATTTCAGCTCATTTTAAATAAGTAGTTAAAACAAGCAGCAAAAATGTTTTTGAGTGTAGGTAAAAACAGAGCTTTTCATATACCAGTCACACTACCAAAACAAATATTGCACCAAATTCCCAGCCTTTTACTTCTGAGAAAATGTCAAAATTGTAGTTTCTCCTATACTGACAAGTTTCCTTCATTGCCAAAGTCTCCCTGATTCCAATCTCTGTATCGGTCTTCAGGTATCAGTCACAGACGCTTATCAGGTGCCCAAAAGGGCACACAGCAGATATTCTTCATGACTGCAGGATGTGTGCCTTCTTATCAGCGCAGTCGAGACAATCAAATGGTTGTAGTAGGAAGAATGCGAAGAAAAGAGAAGCTTTGGTTTACACTTGCCGTTATATTCTACATAAACTACAAACAGAATAAAACATGTTTGTCTAGTTCACCATAGCTGCCGTCGTCTATAGTAAACGACAATCAGTTTACATCTTTGCATACGATCTGCACAACAAAACAATCCTGCGTACCATCTAAACAAACTTTTGTTCTGCTCTCCATCAATCATCTAGAGAGACGGATTGTCTCAGAGACCAACTAAACTTCATATCTGAACAGGGTAGACGTGAGGGATTGGCCGATGTGACAGAGCCCATAAATAGAAGACTTAAAAACTCTGAATAAAGATCCTCTTCTGAAAGGTAATGCGGGATAATCTCTGGCATTATAACATAACTCACCGCTGGCAATGAAAAAGTCCATTTTCTCCTGGAAGGGATGAATGTGCTCTTGAGACGAGTTGGTACACACAGTTAGGACGTCCTTTTCGCAAACTGTACGAGACAAAAACAATAACATTGGGTCAGAGTAAAGTCCCTGACTGGGTCCAACTCACAGAGGCCAGTCATTGTAAAATAATCTTTAACACCATATGTTATCCAAAATTAAACAGTCTGACATTTTAATGTTAGACCACCATGAGCGTTTTTTATTCCAAAATCTTAAATAATGAATGCCACACTGAAGCTTGTAGAATTTTCAATGCATATGTTTTCTTACTAAGTGGATTTATAGTAAATAAGTGTACATGTACACTCACCAGCCACTTTATTAGGTACACCTGTCCAACTGCTCGTTAACGCTAATTTCTAATCAGCCAATCACATTGCAGCAACTTAATGCATTTTGGCATGTGGACATGGTCAAGACGATCTGCTGCAGTTCAAACCGAGTATCAAAATGGAGAAGAAAGGTGATTTAAGTGACTTTGAACATGGCATGGTTGTTGGTGCCAGATGGGCTGGTCAAAGTATTTCAGAAACTGCTTATCTACTGAGATATTCATGCACAACCATATTTAAACTTTAAAAAGAATGGTCCGAAAAAGAGAAAATATCCTGTAAGTAGCAGTTCTGTTGGTGCAAATGCCTTGTTGATGCCAGAGGTCAGGGGACAATGTCCTGACTGATTCGAGCTGATAGAAAGGCAACAGTAACTCAAATAACCACTCGTTACAACCAAGGCATGCAGAAGAGCATCTCTGAAACCACAACACGTCCAATCTTAAGGTGGATGGGCTACAGCAGCAGAAGACCACACTGGGTGACACTCCTGTCATCTAAGAACAATAAACGGAGGCTACAATTGGCACAGGCTCACCACAATTGGACAATAGAAGATTGGAAAAACATTGCCTGGTCTGATGAGTCTCAATTTTTTGCTACAACATTCGGATGGTAGGGTCAAAATTTAGTGTCAACAACATAAAAAGCATGGAAACATCCTGCCTTGTATCAACTGTTCAGGCTGCTGGTGGTGGTGTAATGGGGTGTAGGATATTTTCTTGGCACACTTTTGGTACCAATTGAGCATTGTGTCAACACCACAGCCTATATAAGTATTGTTGCTGACAATGTCCATCCCTTTATGACCACAGTATACCCATCTTCTGATGGCTAGTTCCAGCAGGATAACGTACCATGTCATAAAGTGTAAATCCTCTCAGACTGATTTCTTGACAATAAGTTTGCTGTACTCAAATGGCCTCCACAGTCATCAGTTCCTCAATCCAATAGAGCACCGTTGGGATGTGGTGGAACGGGAGAATCACATCATGGATGTGCAGCAGACAAATCTGTAGCAACTGCGTGATGCTATCATGTCAATATGGACCAAAATCTCTGAGGAATATTTCCAGTACCTTGTTGAATCTATGCCATGAATGATTTAAGCAGTTCTGAAGGCAATAGAGGGTCCAACCTGGTACTAGTAAAGTGTACCTAATAAAGTGGCGGATGAGTGTGCATTGCATTAATGGAAACGACCTGCTATTGTTTTAGAAAATATGAGCAGGGATAGTGGAATGCAAATGCTAAGAAAATTAAGTATAATTAAATATAGGCTAAACCAATATTTTGTTTCACAAGTATAGAAGGTGATAAAGACCGGTGATTCGGGCATTATTAGTGACACTAATTAAAATTTTAAAATGCATTTTAAAAGTTTCAGTATATTTTGTGTTATACATAAATTAATATTTTTACTTAGCAGAAGGATGTATTAAATTGATCAAAAATCACAGAACAGACATTTATAATCATGAATAATCAGCCGCTTAACTCTTAGATCACTTTAACATTCTTGCAAACACAATTCAGCATATTACAATTTTTTTTAAGTTTTGGGTATCATGATGCTGAAAAAAGAGCTTTGGAATCATAATCACAAATTAAAATATATTAAAATCTGTATTTCATATCTCGGGGCGGCGCAGTGGTGAAATGGGTAGCACTGTCACCTCACAGCAATAAGGTCGCTGGCCCAAGCCTCGGCTGGGTCAGTTAACATTTCTGTGTGGAATTTGCATGTTCTCCCCGTGTTCGCTTGTGTTTCCTCGGGGTGCTCCAGTTTCCCCCACAGTTCAAAGACATGTGGTATTGGTGAATTGGTTAGGCTAAATTGTCCTTAGTGTATGTGTTTCAATTAGTGTGTATGGGTGTTTCCCAGTGATGAGTTGCAGCCAGAAGAGCATCTGCTGCGTAAAAATGTGCTGGATAAGTTGGTGGTTCATTCCGCTGTGACGACCCCTGATTAATTAAGGGACTAAGCTAAAAAAAAAATTAATGAATGAATTTTAAATCTCACATCTCAGTATTTATTTATTTTTTAAATTGTATTTTTAAACAAGGGGAATGCAGTGTTGGTAAGTGTTACAATTTCTTTTAAAACACATATTTTAAAATAAATTACACAACATTACTTATATAAACAAAAATATATGTGGAAATTTTAGAAATCACTAGGCACTGGCCAAATTGTGAGTCATAAATTGGCCTTTTTTTCATTTTTTTTTTTTTACCAGCAAAGCAACCATAATGTAGTTGTGGTTGAATGAGTACTGTGTACTGATGATTTGCACACTGATGATAGAGCCTGCTGATTAAGCAATGCTGTTAGTACCTTAATTATGACATCAGCACAGTGAATAATGATTACATCTGTAAAAAAAATGAGTACAGTAAAGTGATTTTGATTATGAGTGGTTAATGGGGGAATTTCCTAAAATTATAAACACCTTTTAGAATTTTAAAGTGTATATAAATCACAGGTTAATGGTATTGTGATTACTGCTTTAGAATGTGTTTTTTAAATGTCTGGGTAAAAGACAAAAACTTTTTCCCCTTTGAACACAATATACTTTTTTTGAGAAACATTTAACATATTTTGGTGCAGTAAACATCAGGCTAACTCATTTAAATGAGTCACTGACTTCTGCTGTCTTCATTTGTTTCAAAAAGACTTATTTCTTTACAATTTGAAAAAAAAATGGCATATTTGATTATCTTTTCTGCTGGAGAAACTGTTATCCTAAAAAACAAACAAAAAATGTAAATAAAAAAATCTTACACATACTATAGGAATGGTATAGCAAAAAAAATTGGCGGTTATGAAACCTTGACTTTTCCAAACTTTTTATACCTAGATCAGTTATAAAATGAATGGAGGCTTGGGGCAAAAAGTGATACTAAAATGAACAAAAGTGCCCAGCAAATTTAAGATATGTGTGCTAAATCGACACCTAAATCTATAATCTCTGTCGCAAAATATAAGGATGAATAAAAGAGTCAGTCTTGCGGCATTACATATAGATAATGTAATATATGCATACAGTGCATCATCAGATCACACACACTCAGTAAAGCTTATGTATGCATCGACCAATCAGAGGCATTTATCTTCTGAGCTTGAGCAAATTTCCATGTTCAGGTGAATTACCCCTTTAAACTCCTTTTGTTTGCACTTGTTCTTAACCCAGAAGAAAACAGCAGAACTAAAGCTCCACCTGTGACAGAGTCAGAGGTTATCAAATGTCTTTTTTCTGGGTCGGATCTGTTTTGATGCACCTCTGATCACATCCTCAGATAGTCCCTGTACCACCCGTGGACCTACGCTGCACTGTTTGTTCGCCGTCCAATCAGAGGATCAGAGGAGCCAGTCTCCTGCCCCAGTCATAATACACCCTGATGGGAACCCGGCACTGTTGGACACACTCCATCTGCATCTCCCTCCAGATAACACTACACACACTACTGTTTTCATTGAGCATTTGTGTAAACTGTGAACACAGCTGCCAATGAAGTAGCAGGGACTCTTTTCCACAGCATTTCTACACATGAAAGATTCATTTAGATCGGTCAGATCCTCATATACATTGTTTCCGGGAGTATCAGAGCTATATAAAGGTTTTCTTGACTGTGCACCTCAACGGCGAGCCAAAACCACTGCCCCAACGATCACAAAGAGATCAAAAAGATGTCTCAAACGCAAGCCAGATGAATCAGCAGTGGAGACTCCAAGCATTAGAAGTGCTGTCATAATTGTCTCTGGAAAATAAAATAACAGGGACATTCCCTTTCCGTGTAGGCATACAGTGACTAATTTGATTAGTGCAGCACTTTCTTGCTCCGCGGAATTACATCGCAGACAAATGTGGTCACCTTGAGCAGCCAAAACCTCAGTGGGGTCGTAAAAGAAAAGAAATCGGACAAACACAGCATAAAAACCCTCTTTAAAAACAAAGACATGATTCTCTCCCAGTCATGAGGGGAGTTCAAACAGCAGCACAAAAAAAGGGAGAGCGCGATGGGGCAGATTTGGCAGTCTCTCCGTCGCCCGATAAGAAAGGCTTGTTGAGAGGTAAAGAAAAGAATCTGGGGCACACATCTGCAGGGCCACACTGAACACGCACTGATACAGTGTAGCAGGAGAACGGCGGTGCATCTCTACACAGATAAAGCCCATCCCGCCAGCGATAAGCTGCTCTTCTCTCAGATTACATAAGCGCCAAAGCACTGCAGCCTTTGGCCCCTCCGACAGAGCAGGAGAATCACACAATGCCTGGAGCATCTGATGGGCAGGATTAAAGTCATATCTAAAAGGCGCCAGGGCCAAATCACACAGACTCCACTGCGTCTCCGCATCTGTGCGTGCGCAAATATACATACGCAAAAAAAAAAAAAACCACGTCCGTATATTCCACCTGATCTAATGTGGTTTAATAATGAGTTGTTGCTAACAGATGCTGTAAAGTCCTCAGTATTCAGCTGGAGCCATGTTGCAGGGCTGCGGTCATCCATCCTGCCAAACCCATGTAATCTCGCTTCTTTTGATGCCACAGTAAATCAGTGGCACGCTGAAATCGGTTTCGAAGCCCTTGAGAGTGTTTTTGGTAATTCTTACCTGTCAAGTCTCTGCCCAGCTTCCTGAGGTCCTTAGAGAGGTCATCGAACTTCACTTGAGAGGAAAGGAAAACATCTTGAGGTTCAGGCAGGGGAAAGATGCTCTTTTCTGTCCCAGCATTCTGAAGAGAGGATAAAGAGATATATAAGAGTATGATGACATATGAGGATGAAAAGATTTACAACACTCAAAAAATTATAGCTTTAGTTGGTCTAAAGAATGTACCTATGTTTAAATGAAACAATTCAGTTATGTTTGCATATTAAATCAAAAGATAATTTAGCTTTAATCTATTTAGTTATTTAATCCTACATTATTCTACGTACTTGGTACCGAGTATGTGACGGCATTTACTTCCACATTCTTTAAATTTTAAAGGTCCATACTGGCCCAATACCCCAATAAGTGGTTCAGTTCTCTCATCAGTTGGAATAAAATAACTTTTTTATAGATTATGACAGAGACATTTTTCTTTTTTCCTTTGATTACTGACATGTGTAGGAACCACCAAAATTAATTACAGCAACCTAGACCACACGGAACCTAAAAGATACATTTTCAAATATAAGTTTACAACAACAAAAAAGCGCCTCTTTTTTTGGAGGGGTTTACTATAACATGGACAACATTTACAATGATTTTAATCAAGTTCAACAGTGTTTCATGAAAATTCAAAGGGTTTTCTTTAAAATGAAACCAAACTTTTGCATTTACACCTCTGCATGTGGATTTGGGACGCATTTGAATTTGGGTAAGCAAAATTCAGGCAGAAAGCCCAAAATAGTACTTGACTTTAAGAAGATAAGTTCAATAACTAAACAGATTAAAGCTAAATTATGAATGTTATGTTGATTGGACTAAACAACATTACATTACATTTATGTCACTAACTTAAGTTCACTAAAATAAATATTATTTCTTTAGAGTAACTTAACTCGGTTACATGGAACCCGTTGTCATAAAAAGTATTTATTTTTTTTGAGTGAAATCAAGACTAAAACTTTTTTAGTGTACTCTATACTCTATAGTCTTGTGCACTGCAAATACTGGTTCGTTCATTCTACTTTTAAAAATGATTACTTTAAAAAAAGTAAACCAGTTGCACATTGTTCATTTACTTACTTTTTTAAAATAAATGAACTATGTGCATAATTCTAAAAATTAAGTCAACTCAACAGTTCGAAGTATTAATGGGTTTATTCACATTTAAGTAAAGCAACTAATATCCTTTTAAAGTGTGCTCACCAAGAGATTGCATGTATTTAATAAAAAACAGAATATTGTAAAATAATATTAAAACATAAATTTGTTTTAAATTGAAACATATTTTCCAATGTAATTATTCTTGTGTTGAATTTCCAACATCGCTCTGAATGCTCATTTGGTGTGCACAAAACATATTACAATGTCAAAATCACAGTTTTTTTTTTCTGGATTTTTTTGATGAACAAAAAGTTCATTAAAAAAGAGAATATCATTTATTTAACATTCTAAATATATTTAATGTCATATTTGATCTATTTAATGAATTGTTTATTGTATGAAATGATTAATTAGAAACCTCAAAGTAAAAAAATAGTGTATATTTATTCATAGGTTTTGAAAAGTTTTAATACCTTTTTTATAGAAAATATAATGACTAAATGTGACATGAGGCAATTTATTTTCATTTAACATTTTATTTCTGTTTATGCCCACCAAATGACCTTTAATTCTAATTTTGAAATTAAAACACACTTCATCATATATGAGATGCATAGAGATTTTTCATGTATCAATTAACAAATTACTACATAAGATTACAGTCAGTGTCACATAACTGAAACTAAAATTAAATAACATTTGTTTTTCCACTAATTGATTTTTTTTAATTTTATTGAATTTTCCATAAATCTGTTGTGTTAAAAAATGTGAAAGATTTGTGCATGTGAAAGGAAACACATCCATGTTTTACCTTGTCAAGGTGATGCAGATAGTAGGACACAATGTAGTCCAACAGACTAATGTGATTTTCCTGTTGATTAATAAAGAATCAAGTCAAAACTGGTAACAAAACAAATCACGGGGAGGCCCTATCAAACACCTGTGTAGTATCTTCATGAAACAGAGCAAAATTTACCCTGCTCTTGACATCTTTAAGCTTGGGAAGAATCTCAAGACCGAAGCCGTCGGCCTGTCCTCGAGCTCGACTGCCTCCATTCATATAGTTTCCCAGAGCAAGAACCAATCCCATCACCTCCCTTGTGCTGTCTTTCTCCAACAGAAACTAAAAACACACACACACAAAAAGATGTTTCTGCATTCATCACGTTTCATGTCAGTCAGGATCACTTTTGTCAAATATATATGGTTATACTAGCATGCAGTTGGTGTTGGTATGGATCTGTTCTGGGTATAACTCCATGCACCCATCCATGAGCGTTCGTGAACAATTTCAATTGATTATGAGTTATTGTAAATGCCACATGAGGCTAATTACTACGTACTAAGCTAATACTTTGAACTGATATCAGAAATGACCTAGGAGGAGTTGGGGATGGTGGAGGGAGTGTAGAATTGGCGAGCACCCAAACACTGAAGACAGACCAGATGTATAATTAAAACTAGAGATGCCCAAAGTAGAGATCATGGGCCAAAGTTGGCCTATGGTAACCTTTGATTTGGTGGTTGATGGGGAGGTGGTGGGGGTGAATTCCTCAGACAGAGATTGACATTTTGTAATTAACTTAACCTTTTGTTTATTTGTTTTATTACCAAGCTACAAAACAACAACAACAACAACAACAACTGAACTTAAATGATTTAATTAAATGTTGTAAATAAGTCAGACTTTTTAAATGTAAATACTGTCACTTGAAAGAAAGAGGACAATGCATTGCGAGCAAATCAAAGAACAGGCGGGAGCAGCTCGACTAGTGTTTTTCGCATCAAACTCCATATGCGATTGTTTATGCTTTTACTGTAATAAGTTCATTATTAAAATGAAAAAAAATTATTCAAAGATCATTCTTTGGATTTACACATTTTTTAAAGGGGTTGTAAACACTTTATTTGGGCTGAATTTAAACAAACAAATTAAGTTGAAATATAACCAAATTTAATTTGTTTGTTTAAACTTAACCCATATAAATGGTTTGCAACGATTATGCAGAAGTCATTTTTTCAGTGTGTGATTTAAAGCAACGTTTTCAAGTTATTTTTAAACATTACCAAATTAATTAGGAAATTACCCATGGCAAATTTTATATATACGAGTTTGGTATATATATTTGGCCCACAACACTCAATCAAGTTTGCTTTTTGGCCCTTTGTAGGAAAAAGTTTGGGTACCCCTGATTTAAATAGACCGCTGTGACAGATGTCACATGTCATAAACAGCTGACTGTCAGCTGATGCAAGATTGACTCTCCACCTGAACTAACACTACACTCAGGGTGCGAATTACACATTGATGTTGGGGGTTGGGGGACCTTTGTGTTGGATTCTGTAAAACATGCTTCAATGAAATTTATGAATTTATTTAAATGACATCTAATATATTATTAAAACCTATTGAAGTTTCAGTGTTTTTAGGCATGGTTAGTATATTCACCTTTGATTAGATATTTTAGAGGTTACTGTTGGTCAAATTATAGAAACTATGCTTTTTACTTTACTTTTAGGATGTAGATACAAACACATTTTACAGGAAAAAAAGTCTTTTGGTCCTCTTGATCTGCAGTTTTAGACTGTGGAATGACTTCTCGCATAGACTAATTGGTGTGATTATGCATCGAAAATGGCATGAAGCATTATGGGGTGGTCAAAAATGTATTTACACTTGAATATTTTAGCTATTAATATTATTTAAGATACAGATCAGAGCAAAAGATTTAAAGAGAAGAGTTCTTCTGTCCTCAGTGTTCTAGTACGAAGCTAAGCAGTGAATCTTTATTTGATAATGTATTAATCTAACCAAATGAATTTACCAACCATAGTCTGTGTAGTAAAATAAAACCAAACTACCCCTCCCCCCATACACATACACATTTTCCCCCTACATCTTTATTGTTATCGTTGTAGTCTGAACTTTGCTGTTGTTTTACTTTCAGAACAATGTTTTGAACTCTATTTTTATGGTTATCTGCATAGTTATTGTGCTTGGTGCGAACGGGCCTTTGGACCTGGCTTGAATAAATGGCAGCTGCCTAAAAGACTCAAGAATGCCAGCATTGATACTTTATCAAATGTTTGATAATATCTGAAGTCTGACCCTTTGAAAGTGCCTTTGTACCTTGCAGACGTGGTGAATAATCTCGGTCTTGCGCTGTATGGAGGCGACGGCGTCAGTGAACTTGGTCTGAAAAATGAAACAGTGAACTCGACTGGAGAACTCTGGAATCTGGGAGAGTTCATACAGAAACCTGTCAAGGGAAAGCAATGAACATCTGTCAGCCTTAAGTGCGTTGTGTTGAAAACTCTACTCTGTCTTCGTCTGTCCTTAAATGAAGGAACTGAAGAGAACTAGGCATTGCATAGGGCCTATAAAAAGTGCCCTTGTAAGTGACAACTGATGTATCACTAGTGGCTGGTTGCATGAAAAAGTGAGTTATCTGGCGTGTTTCTGGAGTTTCTCACTGTTCAGGCTTGTCCAGTAGTTTGACCTGCTCTTCGTCTGAGGTTTCGTAGTGTTTCTTAATCTTCTCTAACTCCTCAGGCTGGGCTCTCTGGGAGAAACAGAACAGACGCAATCATGTAACAACTGACCAATGAAACACATGTAAACTTATGAAACCACACGGGAGCTATCAATTATTTATATGTTGGAACTGAAACTATACAGAAAAAATGGTGATACAGAATGTGCAGGCTGTTGTGTTCATTTTCTGAAGCGATTTTTTGGAGAAATGTGTTCGAAAATGGATTTAGAAAAGTAGAATGCTTTAAATCAAGTCTTCAGGCTCTTTCACAACATGAAAGCAGTATAGATCAATATACAATATATAATAATAACTATATTAGTGGCCATATTCATTCATTCATTCATTTTCTTTTCGGCTTAGTCCCTTTATTAATCTGGGGTCGCCAAAGGGGAATGAACCGCCAACTTATCCAGCACATGTTTTACACAGCAAATGCCCTTCCAGCTGCAGCCCATCACTGGGAAACACCCATACACTTTCATTCACACACATGCACTATTGACAATTTCGTTTACCCAATTCACCTATAGCGCATGTCTTTGGACTTGTGGGATAAACCAGAGCACCTGGAGGAAACTTAGTGGCCATATCAGTGGATAATTTTGTTTACTTCTCAAAGCACACAAAAAAAGTGATTCCAAGGAATATTGTTTCTTTCCGTTATTGTAATAACTGTGATGGGGACTAAATCTGTTATTACTTTATATGTATTTTTAATTAAAAGCTTATCATTATGGTGTGAGTGGGCCTTTAGTGATCTATGAATATTTAAATGATACATCCATTTTCAGTACAATTTAAGCTTAATTTAATCTCCTTTTTTTAAAAAGGAGCAAAATTATTTGGAATAATGAGACATTTACAATGAAAGTGTATGTTAAGTGAACATTAAAATCCTCTTAAAATAATTGTAATACTATATAGCTATAAAATATAAACAAAATGTGAATTACTATGATTCTGTGTGGAATAAAGGCTTAGTTATTAAAACTTAAAAAACCTTAAAACTTAGTGTAATAGAGGCCAGCTAGCAAAGTGCTATGCAGGTAAACCTCACTCCTCTGACCTCTAAAGGTGCTCTAGCGACAAACATTAGAGGCCATGGCCAATATCCTCCTTGTTAGAGCAACCGAACCCCATGCGAAAAGTCACCAGTTCAGTCCCAGCCTAGACCGGGTTGGGTGCAGTAGGACCGGTGGGTTACATGTGGGGGATCATCCGAGATGGGAGTGAGGTTTAGGGGGTTGAGTGTAACGGAGGCCAGCTAGCAAAGTGCTATGCAGGTATTCACATCAGATGCTGTACACACGGCTAAATCGCGCTGCTCTCATGTAAATAGATGCGTGAACATTTTGAGTTTACTCGCTTCATTCATGCGTCAAATTCACTAAGCAATAGACAAGGATTTGCGTCATGGGCAGGGCTTCTGTCTGCCCGATGACTGTAGCTTTGTTGCTAAATGGCTAACATTTTATTTTATTGATTTTATTGAGAAAATAACTGTGTTTTTGTGCTTTATGAAGGCTGAAAAACAGCGTAGATCCATTTGGAGCCGTGTCTGAGTGCACTAGATCCTTTCAGATGTGCACCCAGCTTTGTGAGCTCATAATCTCCTTCAAAAACTTTACCTGGATGATGGAAGCTTGCAGCGGTGCTTCTGACTGAGCCTAGCCCAGCTTGATCAACTGTTGTACGGTGTCGGCAGAAAGATTTTTCCCCTGAGACACCAACAACAGGCTCTACCTCACAAGCACACCATTACTTGAGAAAGCTGCTGATTGGTTAAAGCAGCTCGAATGTCCGCTAAAGTTCAGACTTTCCAATTCAAGCGATTTGTGCAAAACGCTCAACTTGCGTTACTTCATTCGCACAAATCACGTTATATCGCGCCTCCTCATTCGCACCGCAGGATGTCTTTTCGCATCTTTGCATTGACTTAACATGTAAATCACTTGCGCTTGACGCTTCCGGGTCTGGTGTGAACGCAGCGTAAAGGTGCTCTAGCGACAGACACTAGAGGCCATGGTCTTTAGCCTCCATAGAGCAACTGACTCCCATACAAAAAAATCGCTGGTTTGATCCCAGCTCAGACCGGCTTGGGTGCAGAAGGACACATGGTTACATAAGTAGTTTCCAACTTCTACATCTATACAACCAACCACATATTAAAGCAGCTTTATAGCTCAAATGATGGATAACAATAAAGTTTTTTATATAAAATTTTAATCTCCACACTTCTGCTTTAAAATCCTTAAATCTAGTCTCATTTACTTTCATCACAAGAGTCTCAGGAAATATAAAAAAATATAATAGTGTTTCAATAATTTTAATAAATAATTTTATTTATTAAAACTATTTATTATTTAATTAATTTATTTATATTATTTTATTACTTTTATTAATTTTGATAAAAGTATTCATTATTTTAAACTTTTTTTTACAAAGTATAAAGTATTTACTTTTCTTTGTACATTTATTCATGTGTTTATGCCTTTAGCCAGCCTCTTGTAAGAGGTGATTCTTTTTTTTTCAAAATATAGACCATTTTGCAGTTATTAGCCTAATGTATTATTTATTTATGAGGTTTGAATTCTGTATTTTAGTGAAACATAAAGCACTATTTTTAGCTGGATTAGCTTGTCCTATGGTTATCATAACCACACTTTTTAATGTAGCAAAATATTTCCTAAAGATTTAGAATTCTTTTTTTAAAAAAATAAAAATGTATTGCATCAGATTACATCATTAAAAAAAAGTAGGAATCTAATAAATTGTCATTTATTAGGCAAACAACAAACTGGCCAGCACATTCAACTTTTCTCAGTCAGAATTTGGCAATTTGAATAATAAAAATCCATGCATAATAATAATAAAAGAACTTCATGATTTGTCTAATATGATTTTGTCTAATCTTGTAAAAAAAGTACATTTGATTGATAATAAATGGATAGCAACAATAGCCAAAGTAGTAATCAAATTAATTTTAATATGGGCCTCTTTTGGTGCTTCACACCTTTTTATTGCTCATTTTTTTCAAGAAAAATGTCCAAGATTTAAGGCAAGGCAAGGCAAGTTTATTTATATAGCACATTTCATACACAATGGCAATTCAAAGTGCTTTACATAAACAAGAATAAAAGAAACAAGTAAAATAAAAATAAAAACAAATAATAAAAATGCATAAAAACAAAACAAAACATAAAAACAGGTAAAATGTGATATGAAAGAATTTAGAACAAGAGTTCCTTGTAAAATGTTTTCTCTATTGAAAAACAACACAATAGCGTAAGATGACTTGACTTGCATCCGATTGTGTGTTTTCTGTCACAGGTGGATGTTAGACTCATGACTAATAATAGTTAGCACTGGCCAAAACTGATAAGCCACACTGATGTGATGGTCATGTGGCTTGGTCTTAAAGCTTTTTCGATGGGTTATTTTCACAATTTATGATGACATATAAAATAGGACAAATAAGCTCATGTATGGGACAAATTCTGAACCTTTGTCATTGAAGATTGGCTATGGGCCTGTATTTTCATCTGCATTTTTAAAATTTCTTTATACATTTAATTATTTATTGACAAATCAAAGGGGTTCACAATGTTTTTGAACAATACATGTTCAAATACTCAAATCTGTTGTTTAGGAGGCTTAGGTTCAGTGTCAGTATACTTACATTTTCATACAGGGCTTCAATAGCATCCAAGTCAACCACAGTATCGTCCAGAGTCAAAACAGCTGTGTAAAGAAGAAGTATTAGAGTTAACTCTAGACTGATTAGCTTTTGGACATGCGCGTGTCATGCAAGCGATATGTGAATGGAAAAGTCTCCAACTACGCATTTGAGAGCTTCGTCTTGTAAGAATTCACTGCACAATTTACAAAAATCATCAAAAACATCTGCCTGTCTGACTCTGTTAAGCCAAGCTGTGATGAATTC